GCCCTTCACTAGTCAATGCGGCACGTTTGATGCAACACAAGATTATGAAGTTGGGTTGGGAAGTTCTCCCCACCCACAATATTCTCTAGATATGGCACCATCAGATAACCATCGTTTTCGTTCGCTGCAACACCATCTTAATGGGAAAACGTATGCAAATGTGGAAAGTGTAAAAGAGGACATCAACATGTTTTTTGCCTCAAAGCCAAGCGATTTCTTAAATCAGGACATTAACAAACCGATTGTAAGATGGAAAAGCATCATCGATAAGAATGGAGACTAGTTCATTTAATAAATGTTTTGTTTTGATATACGAGTTGTTCGGGTTTTTTCATCTAACAAATACAATATTAATTTCCTGACAACCTAATACAATGAATACGTCTGCTGGCACGTATCTTATTTTAATACGAATGTATACTGACAACAGAACAGTAATATCAACATTTCTGTTAATTTACTGTTGGAATTTGTTGATTTAATTCCTAAGGTTTATTTTAGCTGTTCGTTATTTTTAGCCTGTGAGTCAGTTTTAATGATTATGCAGGACATTTGGCAAAGTTAGTGGAAAATTGTTTAAAACTTGTATTTTGTTTTTATTGATAAATTAAAAAGTAGTGGTAAAATACTAGTGATATGAGCAGCGTAGTTACGCCTCTTGGTAGTCAACGGCAAGTTTATAAACTTACAACGCTAAAATCTGGAGTTCGAATCCCCGCAGAAAGCCCAATGAGTAACTTTGTTTTAAAAAACAACAACAGCTTTAGTGTCATAGCCACAACTTATACACAATTATTTATTCGGACAAATTCCTACCATGTGACAGGAAGAGACTTGATTATCCAAAACTATAATTGTTAGTAATTTCTGAGTGATTATACGTCTGCATTTCAACAATTATATTATTTGGAAATTTATGATACATTAGTGGTAAAATAGGCTCGATTAATTAAAATAACCTCCCACATCAAAATTGTGGCATATTGAATCGACAGATTCCAGCTCGCCCTGTAAAGGTGCTGTTTGTCAATACTTCTCATAGTTTTATCTGCCTTCAATCTTCCTCTCCCACATTTCTCCGACGGTGAATTATTTTGTGTGTGTTTGCCTGCCGAAAATTTTTCGTTTTGCTCTTTACTTAATTATCACGAGTGAGGTGAAGGAGGATTGCCAATTCTCTACTACTCTGGGTAACTAATTAATCAATTAGTTAGTTTTATCCCCAAATATCTGCAAAGATTTGGTCTTTGAAGCTACACATGAGCAATTTGTGTCGGCCACCTCCAATTTTTAGCTAATAGAGTAGTAGAAAGACATCTGGTCAATAGCAGCACCCACCTGCAAACTATTGGGATACCCTAATCGAATGGTGTGAAGGATGTGAGCTTCACTTAAATAATTTCAAATAAAAACAATTGAAACGTTTCATTTTAGTAAACTTCCTTGTGATAATATTTGAAAAAAACTTTTCAGCAACAGTATCAAGATGTGTGGGGGTGGACATAATCGTTTCTTAAGCAGCATTATCAAGATGTGATAAATGAACTCTTTGTGGCAGCGAGCATAATGTTTTCTATGATGACATTTATTGTAAATAAATCCTTGTTTCACGCTTAAAGAATTCTCACAAACTGCCTTTTCTACTTCACAGTATTTTGGTACAGTCCTGCCAACGTGTTTTTCAGTACATACAAGGAATAACTATCAGCGTCAATTTCAACCCACAAGTTACTGATTTGTATTCGAGGCAATTGTCATTCATAATAAACTTAATAAGAGAAGAATAAAACGAAGATTTGTACACTTGTTGTGCTTAACACACTCTTTATTGGCGATATTGTTTTACCAAATGAACTAGGTGTTCATTCTTGTTGACATAACTATTCATTCACCTGAACTCAATGAAAAAAAAAGTAGTTTCACTAGAAATAATGCACTTTACTTTGGACTTGTATATAATTAGCATTAATCAAATGTTCAAATCCAAAATATATAACAAAACACACTTTCAAAGTGATAAATTTTCCAATTACAAATATTCCTACTACCTTATGCTACAATGTTTACTCCTTATATTAAATGATAAACCCTATAACCCGAGCGCTTTCGAAAGGTAAACCTTTCTTCTTTAGGGGCAAACTGGAAATGGTGGTGTAATCAAATGAGTGATATATAAAAGGAATTGAGTGATGTCATGAAGTTCAACCGGTTTTTCAGGAAATGTTTCTTATATTTTTCCATGTACTGTTGTAAATGTCTCACTTCCGGTATATTTGATTACACCACCAGTGACAATGCAACAAGAAATAGGGAGAGCTTTGAGGAGACACGGAAAATTAGAGTAAGAACGAGACCGTAGTTGAATTAATTGATGGCTTCAGGAGTTTTCTATCGAGACAGAAAACTCCTAAAGCCATCAAACAATTCAACGAAGGTCTCCTTCTTACCCTTCTTTTCTGTGTCTCCTCACAGCTCTTCCTATTTCTTGTGGTATCGTCATTAGCAAAATTAATAATGTCAATTTTCACTCACGTAAGCCTTAAAAGTCAAGCGCTACTTAATACGATTTTATGAAATGGGGTGAAGGGAAACAAAAGTTTCTGACTGCCCATGGTTATACTTCATTACCCTTTAGGGAAATAAATATATTTTAACCTAAATTACTACCACTACTGGATTGGACACCATCATTCCCAGTTTGGCCCTGAAAAAAGAAAGGTACACCTTTCGAAAGCACTCGGGTTATAGGGTTTTTATCATCTTGTATCAAGACTTCTTTTTCGGACATCATGAATACTTCTCATATTAGATATAACAGAATTTGTTTATTACAGGATTACACAGACAGGTTATATATGCCATTATTTCTCACAAACAACGTTTCTCCAACCATATTTTGAACAAGTTTATTTTGTATTGGGGGATAAAATCAACACTTTTCTTGCTACTACTTATCAGTTTAAAAAATTTCTAGAATACTATTACCATTTCAAAACTATCTTATCTACATCTTAATACTGAAATTTGTATTTTTGAAGTTAATAAGGAAATAATGAACTATTACGTTATTATCCAACTTCCGGGTCCAAACTTTCACATGTTTATTATCTATATATATATATATATGTTGATAATACTGACTTTGTGCTAATCTATTTCAAATATTTCACTTTTCTCTCTCTCTCACTATATATATATATATATTGTAAAGAGCTGTCACATTGTTTAGTCTTTTATAACGTTGAAACTTATAAATTATTTTCTACTTTAATCTATATAGCACATAAAAACAATATTTGGTCACCTAGAATAATGTTTTCTTGAAACCATTTTATTACAAGAAAATTGCTACTATTAACAATTGATTCATACAGTTTAGTACATTTGCTCGTGTATATTTATATACAAAAAAAAGAAATAGCAGAGTTCCATTTTTAGCATTTCTCCAGTTCTCTTTGTCTTTAACTATACACCATGATTTTTATTACTGTGTTTACACGAAACTTAAATGTTTTATTATCTTAAACAGTTACGAATTCTATAGAACAAACATTTCTCGTACTCAGTTTAAGAATTTTTAGATAATTACAATAAACAAAAACTTTTTCTGAAAACATCAACACTAGATCTGTATTTTCAAGTGCTCACCTGTTTCTTTTCTGCTTAATTTATAGATAATATTTATTTGAAAATTCTACATTAACTCAAACGAAATTATTGTATCTATTCTTCAACAATACATACTACGACGTGTTTGCTAATTCCACGATTTAAGACATAGAAGAACCTTTAAAACATTATGCATAACCGCTCATGTTAGTGCTGATATAATGCAGAGACAGTTCTTTCATGCGCCGATCGATGGCGTATACGTATACAACAAACGTATAGTCGGGTCACATAGAGGTGCTTGGTATGACGGGCGACGTTGGGTGTAACCACTTCTGAATATTCAAATTAATCAACTATAATCATTCATTTTTCATCCTTGCGTTTTCCCTGTTTCGAATTTTAAACTTTAAAGATTAAAGACGCGTTAGTTTTTAATCATTATGTAAAATAAAACAATTTGTATTTAGTGTCTGTACAACTGCAGCGCTACATTTGCGCTGTTAAAAGACTAATACCATATTATCAGTCTTTAGGGAAATGCAACTTATAGCTAAAGAGCTTGATATTTCTTAACAACATATTGTTGAACAACGTAAAGCAATTGTAAGAGCATGTTTTACTTCTGTTCACTTACTTACATATACAGCTAATGTTTGTAAATTGTAAAATATGGGAAGATGCTGTTTTGAATCCACTGTTAACATCGCATATTGAAACTGCTTCGTCTGACTGGAATAAAGCAGCTAATACTTTTCACAGAAATGTATATCTCGCATCTTTAAAAATTCCAGTTTTTACCCAAGGACTTACAATGAAAGCTTCTTAACAAGCAGAAACGTACGGGTACAAAGTAAATACCATACCTACCGATCTACTAAGGATGAAATTTTAGTATTGTGAATATTTCATCCATCTATGATCAATCGAGTGTGTATATATATATATATATAGGTTATTTCAATTAATCGAGCCTATTTTACCACTAATGTATCATAAATTTTCAAATAATATAATTGTTGAAATGCAGACGTATAATCACTCAGGAATTACTAACAATTATAGTTTTGGATAATCAAGTCTCTTCCTGTCACATGGTAGGAATTTGTCCGAATAAATAATTGTGTACAAGTTGTGGCTATTACACTAAAGCTGTTGTTGTTTTTTTAGCACAGAGTTACTCATGGACTATCTGCTACTGCGGGGATTCGAACTCCATATTTTAGCGTTGTAAGTTTATAAACTTGCCGTTGACTACCGTAACTACGTTGCTCATATCACTTGCATATTACCACTACTTTTTAATTTATCAATAAAAACAAAATACAAGTTTAAAATAATTTTCCACTAACTTTGTCAAATGTCCTGACATTAAAACTGACCCACAACAAACAGTTAAAATAAACCTTAGTAATTAAATCTACAAACTCCAATAGTAAATTAACAGAAACATTGATATTACTGTTACTTTGTCAATATACATCCGTATTAAATGAGGTACGTACCAGCAGACGGTATTTATTGTATACAAATCTTTACTATAATCGATTGTTTTAGAGTTTCGCGCAAAGCTACACGAGGGCTATCTGCGCTAGCAGTCTCTAATTTAGCAGTGAAAGATTAGAGCGCCCTAACCACCTGGCCACGACGGGCTTTTACTATAATATTACTTTTGTTTTATAATATATATAAAGAATGTCATAGCTTTTTAGAGAAAATGTTCTAATTTAAATGCTGCTTGGTTAGAATACTGTAATATCAAATCTCCTACAATTTGACTCAAAAGCCATGCGTCCTTAAAGTTAAACATGAAACGATATTATTTAACTGAATTTTAGTCCTAAAAATATGAGCAATTGTAAACTATCTAAAATTAATAATAAATATGGTTCAAACAAATATAGGATTTACTAGACAAATCATTCTTTCTGGTGTTTTAAACAAACTTTGTCCATAGAAAATTAATAATAATGCTGTCTAAATAATATCTGAAGAATTCTAGAAAATGTTTTTGATAACTGTAGATTTTGAGTTAATTAGCTCCGTTTTTCTGCCAATTAACGGAAGTGTAAGGTAAACTCTATCTTATTAGTTGTTGTTTTAAAAGGGTAGAAATAAGGACAAGTTACAGATAATTTACAGTGCTCATCAAACTTTATGAAATCAGTATTTAAACGAGTTTTAATAAAGGTAAGTTTTATAACTGATAGCCCTCGTAGGGCAGAAAACACTCCTATACTTTAGTTTGAACTATGAAGAAATCCTGAACATGTTTGGTTATAAATATTATAGACAATGGCTTTTTAATTACCTGTTCATGATATGAATTGTAAGTTTAAAATAGTACAAATATGTTTAAAAACTAAGAATATGCAATATTAACATCAAATAAAATAAAATTTCAACAATAACTTGGTAAATTTCAACTATAGAATTCCTATAAAGTAATGCTTTAACAGTTTAAGTGCTAATCAATTTTTTCTCTTGAAAGAAGAATTATTTTAAATGCTGATGTTATCATACGCAGCTCTTACCATGTTGATCTCGGCAGCAGGACCGGTAATATCGGCAATTCCAATACCAAGCTTGTAAACTCCATCTCTTGTTTCGGTAAGAACTGTTACACCACAAGAAACCATAGCCACCAAGGCCACACACTTTACCCACTCGAAGTTAACCATTATCCCGAACACACTACACTGAGACTGTAAAACCTTGTCACTTTACCAAGATTGCTGCAGAGGTCTGCTCAGAGCGCCATCTATCAGACAGCTTGTATTTCCTTAAGCAATTTGTGCTTATTAATTCTATTGCAAATGTCGATACGGCACATCGCGCAACAAGCCACAATGTTTTCAAATATCGATGAGAGATTGAGCAGAAGAACAAAATTTTGTACGTTAATATAATTTATGTAGGCCTATATTACATAATCCCTACAGCAAAAAGACACAAAAATCATCAGTTCGTTAAAACAAACAATTTTTAGACATAATTTCTTATGGTAATTAATAATACAGGAATATTTTACAAGGCAAAGTACTAGTAATAACATAAAGTTCAGTTAGGTTTTAAAGAATGTTTCAACCACGCAAAAATTATCTTTGATTATGTAACCTTTTTCTTATACCTCCGTAACACTTGTATTTTTAATTAGATATGTGACTATCTTCTAAAATACAAATAATTTTATTTGTAAACTATATCACTAACATCTTTAAAATACACAATAAATGTATTTTGCCCTTTGAAACTAGCATCCTAAAATTGCATTACAGATGCATATGTAACTAATAAAAAACACGTAACACAAGTATTTTACTTTAAGAAACTAATTTCCTAAAATCTCGTTACACTTGCATTCCAAGTTACAACCTAGAAATGAATAAAACCTTATAACCCCTGAATTGTACCTTATGATGTTAACTTACCACTGTTCCATCGGGGGACGTAACTCATCTAACTTAATATTCTTAAAACATCTTTCCTAAGTGGGCATTTAAAAAAAAATGCATTCACAAAATCAACTGCCCCCAGTGGTACAGCAGTATGTCTGCGGACTTACAACATTAGAAACCGGGTTTCGATACCCGTGGTGGGCAGAGCACAGATAGCTCATTGTGTAGCTTTGTGCATAATTCCAAAGAAACAAAATCAAACAAAATGACAAAAGAGCCCATATTAGTTGAAAAATGGATTTGTTACAATAATAGCATGTACAGGGTAGCTGGAGTGCTAGACTAGAATACATAGCAAAATCGAGGAAAGTGTCCATACTTCTTATTATATAAAACTCTCTTTTTTAAAGCCTTCTTATTAAAAGCAGTTACGCTAATAACAACATTGGAGAAAAACGTTAACGAACCAACGGTATTACAATCACAGCAGACCTTACTATAAACTATTACACTTTAGAGCCATTCTGACCTTGAAATTTTATTGCTTAAGATGTCACGTTACACCCTTTTCCAGCATACACACTAACGTTGGTTGATATAGAAATATTTCTAGGTGTTATTCGAAAATTTCCATTAGTATTAACACAATGAAAGCTTAAATCGATACATAAATTACTGCGTATTATTTCAATTCCAGGAGATGCTAAGATCCTTTGCTCTACTTACTAGCCATTGATAATGTGTACAAAAAGCTGATCGATTAGTGGAATGAAAGTTCTATTGTATGAGAAATTTGTTTGTTTGTTGAATTTTGCACATAGCTACTCGAGGTCTATCTGCATTACCCGTCCCTGATTTTAAAGTGATAGACTAAAGTGAAGGCAGCTAGTCAATACCACCAACTCTTGAGTTACTCTTTATCAACGAACAGTAGGATTGACCGTCACATTATTACGTCCCCACTGCTGGAAGTATGTTCAGTGACGGCGTTCACAAATTGCAAGTCTAACGCCCCAATTACTCGCCCATTTCAGGCCCTGTATGATAAATGGAATCATCTAAACCATTATTTGGCAGAAATGTGTGTATATATGTGGGTTCGCTTATAACTGACGAATCATTGGATCTAGTTTCAACAAATTTGGCATGTACTCTGAAGAACACACGAGGAGTGGCATAGAAGGGTCGGTGTTCAGATCTGACTCCCCTATTTCTTCCCCTTGCGTTGAACGGTACATGACTAGTATCATATATATGTTTAAAATACTTCATGTAAATCACTACGGTTCACTATATTCATCTTCCTTTTATTAATCGATACTTGCACTTAATTTATGACATAAGTTTATGAATTACAATGCTAAAATCTGAGGTTCTATTCTCTGCTGTGGATAAAACGCAGGTAGCCCACTGTGTAGTTTTTGTAATTTTTAAAATTTATCTCTGGAAACTGTGTGAAATTGGTATTTTTAAATTAACATTTTAAGGTCTAAAGGTTTTCTCGTTGATAAGATTGTAAATAATATGCGAATAATATTCTGTTACCCCACATTCAGAGCCTGTTGGGTTAAGGCACATCTATAGCGGTCGTAAATTTATTGTGCAATAAAATGAAACCCAACCCAACTCAACAAATAATATTCCGTATATATACAGAATTAAAATATAATAGATATCAACATAGTAAAACAGCAGTTGGTTTGCTTACAAAAAAACAGAATTTTGCTTACCGTCTTTGGTAACATTGTGTACATCCAGTCACCTTGACCTTTACCATCCCCGTGTCTTGAGACTAAACAGGTTAAAGCCCTGGCTTTCTCATTGCGTTTTAGTTGAAATATGGTGACCTCCAAATGAAAATTTAGCACCTAAAACCGATTATTTTGGCAGGGTTACATTACGAGACTTTCAAATATAAAGTTTTCTATTCCACCGTTGTAAAAGCATGCATTTTAACGTTTTGAATAAAAATTGTTTGTAGTGTTGAATCTATTGTAAATGCAATGGAAAGCCTGATGATAGTGGGAAAAGGCTACTCCACAACCAGCTACCATGCGCACATCCGAGGTAGTGTATATTTTGTTTAAGCACAAAGTTGCGCAATTGGTTATCTGTATTAAGTTCACCACATGGATCGAACTCCTAATTTCAGTGTTATAAGCCCTCAAAGATACTGGTGAGCCAGTGGGAGGTTTAGGACGTTGAACATCTTGTGCCGAGAAGTTACCCAACAACATAGCCGATTACTAGCAACCTCCTTTGGAACTATAAACAAGATAATTCACACAGATTTAGCTCTACAAAAACAGTATTCATAACCTCTCTTAAAACATGTAGCCACATGAAACCCTACCTATCAATTGTTGTGTGTGCGATGTCTGGCACATGACAAATGTTGTAAATATTTCATCGCATCAGATGGATAATATGTATACTTGGGTGTGTACAATAAAGTCTGGATGATGCATTATCCTTCTTCAGGTGACGCAACATTTCAAATATCATATAGAGCATGCCACAAACGTTTTTCTATGATATTCAAGATGGTCGCAAGATGCAGCTAAAATAGTAAGGTAAACTTTCAGAGGATCTATAAAAATGACACGAAGAGCTCTGCATACTATTAGGATAACGTGTTGACACCCCTATGTCGCGAAGTAATACCATAACTGTATGAAATGAATGCTGATGCTATATGACTCCATCAAGACCAGACATCCAACCACAAGACCAACTCAACATGTCAGTTCTTCTGCTAGAAGAAGTGCAAACGAGGATTCACGATAAACCATTTGAAAACATCTTCCATAGACTTCTCTCTCCGCTTTTTAGAGATCATGTAAAATGGAGAGAGGACAAAATTAGCTTAGTATATTGTGTAAGAGCCACATACTGTGGAAATTGTGCTACAGAGCAACAAGCCATAGACTGATCTACCACATAAAAACACCATCGGTGGTTGAAGGGGCTGTAAGGCTTAAGCACTTATTCTTATATTGTTACCATAGTTAGTGAAAACACATCTATATATAATAATTCAATTGAAAAGTCATCATATTCGGTTTAAATTTCTAATAATTTGAGAGTCATCATAAGTTATGTGAAAGTAATTCGTGTATTTTAAATAAATAATTAAGTTTTAATTGTTGGGATTATTTTTAAAAATACTGATTTTAAAATGAAGCTTGAAATGTGCCAATTTTAAACATAAATTACATATCTTCTAAAATTTTACAATAGGTGGCAGTAAACACAAAAAATACGAAATATATATATATATATATATATACATATTTCTTTTCTAAAAAGGACTCAAAACCCTATGTTTATCACAGCATTAGATGTTAAGTGTGACTTTAATTATTTGCAGATTGTGATTTTTAAATAGCTTTATTCTCGGCCATTTGCGTGAACACTTTCTTATATTAATCAGGTATAAATTAAGTTGTCAAAGTAATGAAATTTATCTGTATTTGTAAAGAAAGCTAGATTTATCTACCACGCGCTTTATCATATCGGTAAGTAGTGATATGTTGGGTTCTTTGTTTAAAATGACTGTGTTTTTGTCAGTGTAAATTACTTGTACCTGATGATGACAAAATCTTGTCGAAACGTTGTGCATTTGCTGTTATGTTAAACTTATATTAAAGTTTTTCGTCATTACCCATTCAAGCCGTCTCCAGCCATTATTAGTTTCAAAGTGGGGGTTCCTCGTCATCGAACAGTAAGTAGTGATTTCGATAGTCCTGGTACTACCCTACCTCCCAGCAAGTGGATATGAAGATTTGTATAATGTGTTTGTCGATGTAGGGTACATATTATGGATATTGTAGCGATTTCCGCCAAGAATCAGTCATTTACACACAAACGGACTTGACTTTAACATCAAGCACCTTCACGTACCACCAGAATATTTACACAGTATATGAAACGAGACATATCACATGAAAACGAATGTGGTTCGTGTATGTGCTCATAGCGTAAGGAAAATAAGTACGTCGTTATGAGCGCTGAAAAACCCAGCAACTGTGACATAGGTATATATGAATATTCAATGTCACAATAGTATGGAAGGCACTTGCGTTTGAAAAATGGCGGCCAGGAGGTGATTTGAATTGTGCGATCTATGACGTTATTAGCGGATAGTTCCAAAATATGCTACCATAAGGCATATAGCTCCAAAATGTGCTACCAGATGCAGATAGTTCCAAAATGTGCTACTAGAGGCGTGTAGTTCTAAAGTGAGCTAGTAAATCGTGAAAAAAAAAAAGGTATGAATATTATATGTCGTAGTATTATAAACTTCAGAGTA